TCCTGGAAGGTGACTTTCTTTGTGTAATGTGTGTATTTTCTTGGAACCAGAAATGACTGGATAGGAATCATAGTCTCTATGCTAACTTTGCTTTTTGTTTGTATTTATTTATTTTAATTATAGAAGTAATTCATGTTCATTGTGAAGATCAAGAATACATTTTTGGGTTTTACAGAATATAAAATCAAAACAATTATGAAAGTTTATTACAAATTTTGGGCCCGTTTGGGTTTTATGTTCAATAAGTTTACAAAGTAAATACATTAAACAGCCAAAAAGAAAAAAAGGTAGACAAATTCAAATTAAAAACAAGGATGATTTACTGTAAATAAATCCCTACTGTAGTGTGGATACAGTGTGGTCTACCACACAGGCTCTCTTGAGTTCTGCAGTGTATATACTACAGCGTGTACCAATTAGCATAAATAAACTTGTGGCTTCTAAGATTCTCCTTTCGACCTTATATCTAATTAGGTTTTAAGCCTATTTCATAGCTGTTTAAAAATAATATCTGGGGGCCAGCCTGGTGGCATAGCAGTTAAGTTCGCATGCTCCACTTTGGCAGCCTGGGGTTCGCAGGTTTGGATCCTGGGCGCAGACCGACGCACCACTTGTCAAGCCATGCTGTGGCGGTGTCCCGTATAAAGTAGAGGAAGATGGGCACAGATGTTAGCCCAGGGCCAATCTTCCTCAGCAAAAAGAGGAGGGTTGGTGACAGATGTTAGCTCAGGGCTGATCTTCCTCACACACATAAAAAATAATATCTGTTCCTTGTTTGAGTATAGATGTCTCTCTTGGATCGAGTTAGTTTTGTTTCAAATGTCTTGTAGCCCTACTATTTAAATGATGTGTTGATTTTTGACAATATAATTGTGGTTTTGATCTTTTGAGGGGTTAAATTTTTAGAATTTCCTATTTAAAACTATAAGTAGAATTTGGGGGAATTATTAAGTTTATTATGATTAAAAGTTTTACCTAATATGATTGTATTTGACTCCAGATAGTTCATATACTAGCATTTACTACTAGTTTTCACATATTTGGTTTTTCCATCAGATTTATCAAGGTACAGTATATATACAATAAAATTCACCCTTTGTTATTAAGTGTACAGTTCATTGAGTTTTGGCAGATGTGCAAGGTACTATAATCACTACTATAATCAAGATAAAGAACATTTCTGTTATCCCAAGAATTCCTCCATGCCTTTTGCAGTCACTTCCCCGTCTGCTACCTCTTGGTAACCACTGATCTCATCTCTGCTTTTCTAGTTTTGCCTTTTCCAGAATATAATAAAAATGAAAATGTCATATAATAAAAATGAAAATGTCGTAAAATGAAAGCCTTTTGTGCCTGGCTTTTTTCAGTTTTAGTATAATGATTTTGAAATTCATCCAGGTTGTCTCTTTCTGTTGCAGAATAGTAGTCTATTGTATGGATGTACCTCAGTTTGTTTATCCTTCATCAGTGGATGGACATTTCGGTTGTTTCTAGTTTGGGGATAGTAAGAGTAAAGCTTCTACAACATTCACGGACAGGTGTTTGTGTGGACATATACTGTATCGGGATTTCTCCTGGGTCAAAACCTATGAGAGGGATTGCAGGGTTACAGGACAGTTAATATGTTTAACTTTGTAAGAAACCACCAGACTTCCTTTTTTTTCCAAACTGTTTTCTGAAATGCCTCTACCATTTTGCACTCCCACCAGCAATGTATGAGTTTCCAGTTGCTCTTTATCAGCACTTGCTGTTGTCAGTTTTTTAAGTTTTAGCCATTAATAGATGTGCAGTGGTATCTCATTGTGGTTTTAATTTTAATTTGCATTTCCCAGATGACAACTGATTTTGAAAACTCTTTCTGTGTTTATTTTCATCCATATATCTTTTTTTTTTTTTTTTTGCAGATATCTTTGTATTTTAGATGTGGTTTTTTTTTTCTTTTTATTGCAGTAACATTGGTTTATAACACTATATAAATTTCAAGTGTACATTATTATATTTTGATTTCTGTGTAGATTATTCATGTTCACCACCCAAAGATTGATTACCATCCATCACCATACACATGTGCCTAATCACCCATTTCGCCCTCCTCCCTCCCCTCTTCCCCTCTGGTAACCACCAGTCCAGTCTCTGTCTCTATACGTTTGTTTGTTGTTGTTTTTATCTTCTACTTAGAGTGAGATCATACAATATTTGACTTTCTCCCTCGGACTTATTTTGCTTAGCGTAATACCCTCAAGGTCCATCCATGTTGTCACAAATGGCCAGACTTCATCCTTTTTTATGGCTGAGTAGTAGTCCATTGTGTACATATACCACATCTTCTTTGTCCATTCGCCCCTTAATGGGCATCTAGGTTGCTTCCAAGTCTTGGCTATTGTGAATAATGCTGCAATGAACATAGGGGTGCGTGTATCTTTACGCATTCATGTTTTCATGTTTTTTAGGTAAATACCCAGCAGTGGAATAACTGGATTGTATGGTAGTTCTATTCTTAACTTTTTGAGGAATCTGTTATTTCTTGTCTTGTTAATTATAGCCATCCTGATAGGCATGAGGTGATATCTCATTGTAGTTTTGATTTGCATTTCCCTAATAATTAGTGATGTTGAACATCTTTTCATATGCCTGCTGGCCATCTGTATATCTTCTTTGGAGAAATGTCTGTTCAGATCTTTTGCCCATTTTTTAATTGGGTTGTTAGTTTTTTTGCTGTTGAGATGTATGAGTTCTTTTGTTTTTGTTTTTTGTTTTTGTTTTGTGAGGAAGATCAGCTCTGAGCTAACATCTGTTGCCAATCCTCCTCTTTTTTGCTGAGGAAGATTGGCCTTGGGCTGACATCCATGCCCATCTTCCTCTACTTTATACAGGATGCCGCCACAGCATGGCTTGACAAGCAGTGCATCCGGACCTGCGACCCCCGGGCGGCTGAGGCAGAGCGAGTGCACTTAACTGCTACGCCACCGGGGGACCCCGATATATGAGTTCTTTATTTATTTTGTGCATCCATATATCTCTTGTTCAAGTCTTTTTGAGTTGTTTTTATTATTGAGTTGTGTTTCTGAATATAAGCACTTTATCAGATAAGTGTTTTGCAGATATTTTCTCTCAGGCTGTGGCTTCTTTTCATTTCCTAACAGTTTCTTTCAAAGAAACAGTTTTCAAACTGGTTAATTTTGGTGAAGTCCAGTTTATCAATTTTCTTCTTTTATGATTTATGCTTTTTTTTTTTTTTGGTTCATCTAAGAAATCTGTGCCTAACCCAGTCAAAAAGATTTTTCTCCAAATGTTTTCTTCTAGAAGTTTTATAGTTTCATGTTTTACATTTAGATCT